CATCCAATTCTTACTCAAACTGGCAATCTCAGCTATCTTATATTGTTAGCTTATTTACGAGTTGCAGTAGACTAGGTAAAAATGAAACACGATTAAATTCCATTTATTTTTTTTAAAATAAACTAGATGATGACCGAGCTTTGCTGAGGTTTTTTTTTATAACGCCATCTTGTTGTGTCTTTAAAGCGGTTAGTTGCCCTCAATTAAGAAAAATAGTATTATTATTCGCCAATAGATGTCGGGAAGAGTTGATTATTGAAAACACGAATAAAACAACATTTTCTGAAAATAAATCGTAGCTAGATCGATTTATCGCCCCCGAAATCCCCTGTGTATACTAAATTTTATGAAAATCGTTGGAGCCGCTTCCGGGATTCAGATTATATACATATATATTAATATACAAGAATTTCTCGTTTAAAGGTATACGATTAGAATTACCGACGTTTCTAAAATACTAATATTTAAGAAATTCGTATCGTTCATTTGAAGGCGTAAATTCCGTTTGGTTTCTTGTCGAGACATTTTATGTCCGAGCGAGCTTTATCACCGAAACAAACTGCACTTAAAGTGTTAGTTTCTAGGGCGAGAAGACGATAAGTCACGCCGAAGATGTGTCGGGAGACGGTCTTACGGTGTCTGCGCTGGCCATAACAGTAAATCTAGGAGAGGATATACGCTGCGCAAACCGCGACGCGCGGCGGGGACCTGCCTTTTAATTACGACCCGGCTTGATTAGCCAACGCAATACTGTCGACGCGTTATGTGGTTGTTTTATGTTCTTTTATTAGTGTCCATCGATAAATCGTCGTGCTATAAAGGATAAGACGTCCCGTGCATTCGTATCTAGCGATGCAACGGTGTTCTAATCCTGAGGCGGGTATAAATTTTTCTAATGAAATACGTATTTGGCAAATGTTCACGATTGACTTCCACGGTGAAGGAATAACAGCGTGTACTAAAAATGAAACACGCAAAATGATTATTTGCGTAATTACTGGTGGTAGGACCTCTTGTGAGTCCACACGGGTAGGTACTACCACCCTGCCTATTTCTGCCGTGAAGCAGTAATGCGCTTCGGTTTGAAGGATTGGGCAGCCGTTGTAAACATACTGAAACCTTAGAACTTATATCTCAAGGTGGGTGGCGCATTTATGTTGTAGATGTCTATGGGCTCCAGTAACCAATTAACACCAGGTAGGCTGTGAGCTCATCTACCCATCTGAGCAATAAAAAAAATTGGTAGCGATGAACTGCATTCGTAATATTAACACAATTTCATTGGGTAATTTTAGTAACATTTCTAATAGTTTGCATTTTTCATGATCACGGACGACCAAAATGTTATATATAATACGTCGACAGTGTAACCACTAAAACTGTACAGTATTCGAAACGTCGGCAGTTATATATTGACAATAAAAAATGCAAAATTAAATTGTTACAGTAATTTTAATTCTATCTATCTATCTATCTTAAGAAGGAGGGAGCCTCGAGATCAGTAATACAAGTCTTTTAACATATTACATACTTCAGCTCTTTAAAAGGCTTACAAAATAAATTATAAGGTTAATTTCCATTTCTATTTGTACTATATATACCTTTAAGAGAGAAATAAATTATTATTATTCTATATCTATACTTCTATACTAATATTATAAAGAGGAAAGATTTGTTTGTTTGTTTGTTTCGAATAGGCTCCGAAACTACTGGACCGATTTGAAAAATTCTTTTTCCATTAGAAGCCGACATTGTCCCTGATGAACATAGGCTACTTTAAAAAAAAAAAAAAATTTTATTTTTTTGGTTTCATGTGTGTTTTAATGTTTCCGAAGCGAAGCGAGGGCGGGTCGCTGGTATATTATAATTATGTTTGCGACTCGTTAAATTCAAACGAAATACTATATCATATTGTTTTGGATTAAAAAAAAAGTGAACGACGATATATATTAATATCTGGAGTTTGTAAAAATTTAATATCGCAAAGTAAAAAAATCGGTGTCAGGAGGTCCTTTATCTCATTTCGTTGACGGAAGTTATTTGACGTCATTAATTTTCGGATCCTCGTCTTTGTACCGTCCCTGGTATTCCGTTTTATCTTTGCTCGAGAGCATTCGATGCTAATAAGGTAAAAAATGTGAATTAATAAATTTATAATTCTATCACGAATATCATACTTTACTTATCACAGCAGTTATACTTTGGAATTCCCTCACTCCAAGCATACGAGCGTGCAAAACCATAGCAGCGTTCAAGAAATCTGTTAAAGAACACTATTTATCCTTACCATATTAAATAAAAGTATATATACTTGTATAATGTATTATAATATAAAGTAAGTATATGTATGTGTATATATATTGTTTTGTATCTTGTAATATGTATATATTATAATATGTAATGTACTGTATGCACTAGGTTTGTGTTCCTAATTCTTCTTTCCTTTTGCGGGCCTACTGGAAGAGATTTCAACATGAAATAAGTAGTGCCCTTGTACTCTGTATCCTTACTGTCGTGTTTCTTCTAAAAGCTGTGTGTTAAATTTTATTATTATATAATAAATATTAAATAAAATCATTAATGGAACCGAAAAATAGTATGACAGGTAACGATTAAAAAAAATCAAACTCAACATCACCTTACATTGTAGGGCTTCATGTTAGGCAATCTTCAGAATTTGTACTACTACTAATCAGAACCCGTATCCTATTGTATTTGGACCTCATGGTAGAAATCGTTGGCCCAAAGAGGTTATGCATATACCTTCTTGTCTATTTCTGCAATGGCGCAAGCGTGGGTTCCCGTTTAAATGTTAAGATAGCTGTAATTCTAATCAAATTGAGGTAGCGGTCAAGATGAGAAGCGGCGTTTTGGTCTTTTGTGAATTAAAAAAAAAAATTTATAGAAACTCTCTAAAAAGATTAAAGTTGCTTTTTAAACCAAGTGTTACTGGTGGTAGGGCGTCTTATAAATCCGCCCCGGAGTTACCACCACTCTGCCTACTTTTGCCGTGAAGCAGTTAGAACTCATGTCTCAAGATGGGTAATGGAATTTACGTTGTAGATGCCTTTGGGTATTAGTAACCACTTAAAACCAGGTGGGCCGTGAGCACGTCCATTTATTTAAACAATTAAAAAAAACTTGGATATGAACGAATTGTGTTTGTCGAATATAAAAAAAAACTTAGGGAACAAATATGATGGCGGGGCAATGAAGAGTCATGAACAAAAAAACATCTCAATACCGCAAACAGTTGTTGATAAACTTGAGAAGAATGTGGAATGACGTCAGGAAAACTAAACATTTCCTCGGTGTTGCTTATTTGATTTCAATCACATATACAATTTAACAATATATTTAATATAAAGCGATGTGTGATTTGCTAGTTTTATTTTATAAGGATTTAAATGCGTTCCAACATTTCACTAGTTCATATCTTTAATAAGCAATACAGATAAAATTTAAAGCAATGTTAATCTAGATGTTCCTTATAAAAATCGATAACAACTCGATCGATTTAGCTCAAAAGAATTAATTATGTTCGACATGTCACCAATCTGAAAAGCTCCGAAAATAATTTGAGACATTTTTTTAATAGACGGCCAAGCTTAACACTCAAAACTTGAGTAATGCTTTTGTAGCACATTTTTTTAATAGTAGGTATTTTCATCATAATATAAAAATTCTAACATACAATAATCTATTTAATTTCTATTTCTTACTGTCAATCGCCTTATTTTTTTTACCATCTAAACAATGTTTAAATTTATCGACTAGTATTTTTTATGATTACCGAGTGCGATCAATAAACAGACGTGAATTGCTTCGGTGATTTTATGTTATCATTTCACAGCAAGTAACGCGTACGTAGTGTGACTCGTGTACACGAAAAAATGTATCACAATCACTCGAAGTATTCGGTAAAGCGCGCAGATCGGACGTGCACCGTTTTTTAGTTCGCGATAAAATTAAAAAATAATAATATAGTATTTATTTCGGTATTCGATTCAGGAAAAATTGTATCCGATTAAATTATTGTAGTCGGGATATTCTTAACAATAGCCACAATGCGTGCTTATCCCCGTTTGATTTTGACCGCGATCACCGTTATGATCTGTATGAGTTTGCTTGTCCAAACATTCAACGCGGGACAGGGAACATCGGTGCATCCAGCTAGTCGCCTGGCCCGCGAGGCCCGATCACTTCAATCTAACCAAATCGAAGCTGGTAACAGTAGCAGCTACAGCGGAGCGTTAGATTCCCAGTCATCAGTCGAAAAACAGCGCCACATTATCGAGGTCAGACTGTTTTACATAGTAATTTCGTTCTGCTTAAATTCTCCAGTACCAAAACTTTTGAAAAAGGGACATTTTCGTCTCGGCGTGTTTCAAACTGTAATTGGTGAAGTCGCCGGTTTTTCCAAGTAATTGGCGACGTTCTCTTAAAGTTGTGCGAACCTAATAATAATTAATGGGTCCGACGGAAGTACGATATCCTTTCATTAGTGTCCCGCCGTACGGAGCGGCCGAGATTAAAACTTGTTCAGAAACGACGGCTCCAACAGTCTGAGAGCACTTTTTAAAAAGACTTCGTTCATGTCACGGGCCTTTGAGATACGTTATCCAGCTTACTTTATGAAAAACATGAAGATGTTTTATTATTTGTATCTATCTATCTATCTATCTATATATATAAAATGAATTGCTGTTCGTTAGTCTCGCTAAAACTCGAGACTGGACCGATTTGGCTAATTTTGCTCTTGAATTATTTGTGGAAGTCCAGAGAAGGTTTAAAAGATAGATAAATATGAAAATGCTGGGAATTAAATAAAAATAACAATTTTGTTTTTCCTTTGATATGTCCCCAGTCGGACGGATTCCTTTTGTTTGTTTTAAGTTTATTTTATACAAAATTTTAGGTATTTTATTTATCGATTGAGGCACTACGAAGTCTGCCGGGTCAGCGAGTTCATAATAAAAATGCTTGGTTTTTTTTTGCAGATGATGCGACACGCTTGGAACAATTACAAACTGTACGCTTGGGGTAAAAATGAACTGAAACCGATATCTAAACGCGCACATTTGTCGAGCGTGTTTGGCTCCGGGGAGATGGGAGCCACCATTGTTGACGGCCTGGACACCTTGTACGTGATGGGCCTGACCGACGAGTTCCGTGAGGGACGTGACTGGATCGCGGAACATTTCAACATCAACGAAATCGTAAGTTGTAAACACTTAGATAATTTCTAGAACTTGCGACATGTACAGTACAGTACAGTGGAGCCCATAGGCAGTATATCGTGAATGCCGCCATTTACCTTAAAACTTGAAGTATAATTAAATATACCTCAGTTTTATTTTTTACACGATTAAATACCTTAACCGTGGAAATCATTCACGAACATAAGTTAAGTAGCAGTTGTTACGTAAATTAATATTTCATTAGAAAAAAATGTATCTGCCAGCGGGATACGAACACTGACACAGTTGCATCGCTTGCTACGAATGTACCGGGCGTCTTATTCTTTATGCCACGAGGACTGTTTAGATAGTTTAGAGTTTCATGCTCCCCGGTAACCGTACTCGTCGAACTCGACAAAGAGGTCGACGTGCAACCTAACCCATGCATCAGCTCGCTGAGTTTCTCGCCGGATCTTCTCAGCGGGTCGCGATTCCGATCCGGTAGTAGATTAATTCGCGAAGCAGCTGCTCTGAGTTGATAGGTCTCCTTCGGAGGCGCTCGGGCAGCTGTTAGCCAATCCCATCCCTTCTGGCTGAGCCTTTGCTCGCCCACCTGTCCTGGTGAAACTGGAAAGGCCTCCGGGCCACCAGTAATCTTTCAAATAAAAAAAAAGTTTGATGCTTCATCTCGCGCGTACTTTTTTCCTTTAATATTATTCCAAGCTTTGTCCGAATACTTGACGGTCGACGATGACGGTTATTTAAATACACTCGTAGGAATAATCTAATCAATGCTCATATTGTGAACAACACTGTTTCCTAGATACGATAAATTTTAATCTTAATTCTTTATTAACTTTATTTTTTTAATTAAATGATTAACTACATGAAACTGCAAATAAGATTAAGTCCAATAATTAATAAAACTTGTAACTGAAAATGTTATAGATGGAATGTTAACGAACTAATTAAGAATGAATCAAAAATATTTCTTCCAAGCGCTAAGCGTACAATAAATAAATCAATTGGCTTCCTTGTCTATATCGTAATTCTATACGTATATAATAATATGTACGTAGGTTTTATTATTATAGTAAAGCAATGTTTTAAGAATTTACGTGCAATAACTCGCCCGTAAATGGTTATATAAAAAATGAGAATGAAAAATTAGAGTCAATTTAAATAAGATACAGGAGAAACATAGGGACTGCCGCTATAGTGTTGTCTGCTTATGGTTTGGAAACCACTTTCCCTGTTTCTGCCGCAAAATCAATCTTTGTCGGACAGGACTATTATTATTACAATACACGTGACTCTTACAAGCTCGTTATGGATGATGGATTAGTTAGTGGCTTTGAGCTCGTCTAGGTTTTTTCATTTCTTAGATGGGTGGTCGTGTTCGCCGGCCTACCTGGTGTTAAGTGATTACCGGAGCCCATAGACATCAACAACGTAAACGCCGCCACCCACCTCGAGATATGAGTTCTAAACCTCAATTTTACAGTACAACGGCTGCCCCAACTTTCAGGTTAATACATTTAGTGCTCCACGGCAGTAATAGGCAGGATGATGGTTAATTAGAATAGATTTAGGCAAATAAAAATATACTCTACCTAGCTCAAGGTGGGTGGCGCATTTACGTTGTGGATGTCTATGGGCTCCAGTAACCACTTAACACCAGGTGGGCTGTGAGCTGGTCCTACGAAGTCTGCCGGGTCAGCTAGTTTAGACTAAATACAGAAGAGATATATTAGTTTACTTTTACGAAACATTGATAACAGTTTACGTGAAACTGTTAAAATAATATGTTTTTATAACAAAAAAAAATCATATCTTGTTTCTGTTTGTTTAATCGTTCAGTTAAAGGAATTTTCTTCGATTCCACCTACGAATAACGTTTCCAAGGAACATCCAAAAAAAAATTTGAGCAGCAATGAATTTGTACAACACATAATATTTTTCATAACTTCAAATGTAAATACAATATTGTATTTATATATTGGATTTATGTAACAAATAGATAATGGCTGTATAAATATAATAACTAATTATGATTTTTTATTGTTCGTCTTCGGTAAAAGAGGTCGCAGTCCTATTGCAATCCTATCGCAGTCCAGTCGCGTATGACTACTTTGCGGCAGAAACGGACACATTGTCGGCATTTACTGTTGTTTAACTAGACCGTTGTATATATTGTAATGTCAATCACCCCAATAAATAACGTACACTTTTAAAAGGCAATAAACCATAATCGAGTGTTGTAAGTCAATCGATGCATCATTGGAAACTGCGTATCGTTAACATTTGACCCGAATTCCGTTTAAAAGAACGTCAATTAATATCGTTAAATCGAAAATAAAGATGACTAAAATTTTTCTTAATAAATAGTGTAAAGGCTACCACCACGCACTATAGATTGCTTGTTTAATTAGTTTATTATTAAAACGAATGCTTGTTTATTTACAATCTATGGTTTATCCGATTGAAACAGTAGTTGAATTTTAGGGAAGATTTTTGTCAAGCAGTACGATGGGTGATGCCCACTGAGTTTCTCGCCGGATCTTCTCAGTGAGTCGCGTTTCCAATGCGGTGGTAGATTCTGCGAAGCACTGCTCTTGCTAGGGTCAGTGTTAGCAACTCTCCGGATTGAGCCCCGTGAGCTCACCTACAAACGTTAGGGTGAAGCTGAAATAGCCTCTCAAGGCTATCAGCATAGCTACGAAATAAATAAAAAAGCGCTGGTAGTTTGAACGATGTATTTATGTGCATTGAGTGAATTTCATAGCGGAAGCTAATCCGAGCTTGTGTTTTGTAGGATTCCGAACTATCAGTATTCGAAACGACGATACGTTTTGTGGGAGGTCTGCTGTCTTGCTACGCTCTGACCGGTGACACCATCTTCAGAGACAAAGCCGCCGAGGTCGCCGACGCCCTGCTGCCTGCCTTCGAAACTCCCACTGGACTTCCATACGCTTTAATCAATCCATCCACTAAGGTAAGAAGAGTATTTTTAATAATTTCGCACTATTATAGATCATGAGATATTAGGCCATGCACTATCCAGACTCCAAAATGAACCTTAGATCTGTCCTTATTCCAAATAGGTTTAGAAAATGGTTTAGATTTGTCCCACGAGAGACGATAACCATTTATAATCAAGTAAATCCATATACTGTAGACTGCACTGACTGTAAAAGGTTTAATGTACTACAAAACTAACCCAACATTACGTAGTTCATACTCATTTCCAAATAACTCGACTTAGTACGGTTTGTCATTTTAGTTTTATGTTATTTTCGTCGATTTTTCTGAGTCGTTGACATAATTAAAATTAAGTTTAGGTACCGCTGTAAAATCTCGCGTTTTTATTGTAATTATTTCATTTACGATGTTTCGAATACTAAGCGAATTTTAGTTTTAACCTAAACAAAGATTCCAATAAACGGTAGCGGCATTAAGACCCATATTATTCTAAACAGTGAGTTTTCATCTGATAATAAATTTGATTCATAATTTCATTAATGCATTGAAAAGGTTTCCTAAAATTTTTATTAGTCCTTTAATTTTTCCATTAGTCTGCAGCTGATGACGGAATTTATATAATGTTCTCAATAAACCATTCACTGGAATTACATAAAGCTAATTCGTTCGCCGATGTAAAAATAAATCGAAACAGTGCTTCCCAAAATTTGAGACAAAGACAAAGTTTGGGATTAAGTATTGGATTTCCAATAAAATCTCAAATTTTCAGAACTAAACCAGTTCCCAAAATTTAAACTAAACCAGTCATTTTTTTTATCTTATATCATTTTTATCTATATTATCTAAATAGATAATTTAAACATATTTTTTTATTAAATTATTAATATACATATATTTTTTATTATCTATTTAGATAATTAAAAAAAAAATGACTGGTCTAGTTCATTAATAAGATGAATAGTCGTTAAATATGGTAATATTTCGTATTAAAAACTAAATTGGGTTGGAACATCTACCCTGCGTATATAAAATACTAAAATATGTTTTAAAACACACTTTCATTTTTGTTCATTCATTACAAATACACAGAAGGCGATTTTCGTCTGTCGAATAAAGTTCAATAAACCAATAAAATAATTTATTTGCTCAGTACGTTTTAAATGTAACATAAGTTGCTTTAATGTAGGTATTACAAATACTGTACTGTCTGTAATTGTATAGCTAATACTGAAATAACTTCCATACAATAATAAACAAGTCTTATGGGCAAAGCGCTGACCAAAATCTTCTTCATTGGTTACATTTTTACGTTTTTTTATATACAAGGTAACATTCTAGTGCATTCTCTTCTTCTTTTTCTCCATCTTATCCCCTTAGGTGGGTCGGCACTGTAAATTTTTCTCTTCCATTCTCTTCTATCAGCAGTCATCTCAACACTCACTTCTCTCTCTCAAATTGTCATTCACACACTCCATCCATGTCTTCTTCGGTCGATCTCTTCCCCCTCTACCTTGCACTACCATTTTCATTCATCTCCTAGCTTTCATCCTAACTTCCTAAACTCCATTCTAACTTTCATAAATAATGAATAACAGATTAATTAATTAATTTACAAGTCGACTACTTTGAACTTTAACACTCTTAACAGCAGAGGCACAAAGGCATTTGACCTTATTCTCGGAGTACAGACCTCTAGATTATTCTTTTAGGACGAATTATTTAGAGAAATATTAAAGGGGCCTCGACGTCAAACTGATTTTTTTTTTCGCTAAGTTGGGAATGAAAGCGAAAAGTATCATTGTAACCGTAACATGAGCAGAAAAAAAGGGTTAATCGATACGAGTGTCTCATATCTACGTAGAAATGTCAATGTCGCATTTGATTGGAGATAACATGGTATCAATGTGGTATAAATATCCGAGTGCTATGCGAAAATTACGTTACGCTCCATTTTATCGGTTCACAAAAACAACGTTATGTAACACGATGGTTATGTTAAAATTTTGCTCCAATTCTGCAGGTCGATGACCGATCACAGTTTTTATATAAAAAATTGTAAGCTTGTGATTTCGTTCGCGGCTTCGCGTTCAGTCAAACCGTAACGTCCCTGTAGACGTGTTTGTTATCTAGCTTTCGTAATCATAAACTAATCACTATAAACAGTTATACTCGAGGAAAAACATATTTCTCGCTGCGATGTGGTTCCTGGATTCGTTCCCCTATTTACAATCTAGAAATTTTTACTTATTTGATGCTCATAGACTATGACATTATCATACGGCACCAGATCCTTTTAACTCGTTTGTGCCCCTAAAAAGGCCAATTGTTCGTGAAATTCGTTTAAATGCCAAATTTAAAGAATCGAAGTTAGACAAACAACGTACTCTATAATGTAGGCATTAAAATCGATTTTATCTCAACTAATGGGCTTCTGGCATAGGCCATGTGCATGCAATTATTCATTGTGAATTTTGAAACACGAACGAAAACTCGTTACCAATATCTATCAATACCGGTATCTATAAGATGAAAAAAAAATATATATTCAGCACATAATGTTCAAACATACATTCCAACTAATTTGATATATGTAAATTTCAGTTATCAATTAATCGTAGCAACGTGGCAGTTTTTTTGACAACAAATCGTGTGATATCGCCATTATATGTATTTAAGAAGATAAGTGAAGTATTATTAGAGTTTCAAATTTGCCGTAACAAAAATATAATTATGTTTATTTCGCCGGCTTAAAGTATGTATCCACCGCTGTTGATACGTTCCGCTCAATCTTAAATTCATTACTGGACATCAGTATATGACTTTTTGCAAATACACACATAGTTATTCCTACATATTAAAAGTTAAATTTCATTAAAACTACTGCATAAACACCAAATATATTTTTTTAAAGTCCTCAAAACATTCCCCATCTTCTTTATCAGTTTTCCCTATTATTCTTAAGTAGAGTTATCAGTGTGCCAGTTTCCTACTAAACGTCCTCTACTAGTGGTAGTGACAATACAAAAACACCTGTTGCGATATTATATTCTGTAATAGTAAATAATTTCATTATAAGGGGATTAGTAGTTAATTATAGTTAAAAGGGTTATTCCAAATACGCGCTGACCCTTTTCATTAAAATACTCGTATGTATAGATACCCAGTCATCAAATAAATTTATCTATTTTAATATTGTGATTGTTTCATTAACAGTATGTATTAAGTCAAAAATAGACAAACCGTGACGAGCAAAACATATTATCCTGTTCGTTTGATATTGAAGCACTAAATCTAGATTCAGCAAAGCACTGCTCTTGTTAGGGTCAGCGTTAGTCCCCCCAATACTCCTCCGTCCGCGCCCTCCTCCTCGCGTCGTTTTCCTCATTACTGAGGGTCGAGACTCCCCCGCTGCATCAGTTTCTCCCATACGACTTCCCTCCATCTGCCGCGATCTTTTGATCTTTGATTCCGTCCGCGCAATTTTCGTAAAAAGGGGTACAAAGTTTTTGCTTCACGTATTAATATATAGATATTCGGTCCGTGATGTTATTCCTTCAATGTCGAAGTCGTTAGGTAACGCACGTCGGGACGTGTTTACTTAAAAAAAATGGAAAATACCAGATAAGCTGAACCCCATTATGCTTCGGATACGAACAAACCGGTTGTCTTATCCATTGGGTCACGGCCAAGACGATAAGTTAACAAAATATCAGCATTTTCCTAATCCTTCCGTCGATTCCCCGATGCTAGAGGTGGTGAACATTTTGCCATCAGAGTATGCTATATGTATAATGTTTTTATTGATTTCAATTTTTTCGCAAGTACCGCTTCGACGACACGAATCTTGATGATCTAGTCTGGATTTTTTCCTTTCGGTCGCTTTTCCTTTCCCTTTCCTTTATTAGTCGGTTATTGATAGCATGCTGAAAACGAGCTACGAATCGATGATAGGCAGAAATAGGTAATGGTTGTACCTCCCCCAAATGGGCTTAAAATACGCGTCACCACTAGTAGATGACGGTTGGCGTTCACAGCTCCCATTCTCGGTTTATCCAATAATCGTCTTTTTCGAGACCCAAGGAAAGAAATACGGTGATGTCATCCTAGTCTAACCACACCGCCAAGCTGACTTTTAATGGTTTGCTTTTAAATTTTCAGGCCAGCCGCCAGTATCACTGGGCAGGCCCGAACAGTATCCTCTCTGAATTGGGTACATTACACCTCGAGTTCTCATACCTGAGTGACGTCACAGGACGTGAAGGTGGGTATATTTCATATATCGTCATAGCAGTACTGTGATTACAGTGACTTGGGCTTTATTTTATCTCGAAATAATAACACATTTCTACGGGAAACTACACCGTTTACTTAGCCTAAACCACGCAGTCGAAGCAGCGGGTAACGGCTAGTATATTATATTAAAAAAAAGAAAAATTAAAAGACGTTTAAAAGACAGAAATTTCTCAGTGAATACTTGGATTCATTCTAAGAAATTGTAGTCTGTGTTTTGTAAGCATTTTAAATATCCGGTTTGTTCAAAGAAAGTTCGTTTATAAATTAAATTCGCTATTGCTCTGCGTTCTATTTGCGTGTGTTTTTTTCTTCTTTTTTGTTAATCACAAATAAAAAAAGTAGTTGAAGTATAAAATAATTTATGTTCTTAAATCATTACAGTCTACAGGAACAAAGTGGATAAAATACGTGAAGTTCTCTACAACATTGAGAAGCCCGGTGATCTTTATCCGAACTTCATCAATCCTCGAACCGGACAGTGGGGACAAAGTGAGTATCGAATGCCATCCGTTAAAGAATATTTCCCGCTAAAAACGGCTCAGTTTTGGTAATCGCGGAGGCTAGGATCAAGATTTCGACGGACCAATGTGTTATTTCTGTAGACCGGATCTCTTTCTATTTCACACGAACATGAGTACTTCGAGTCACAAAAATAAAATTAAATTAAAATTTCCTTTTATTAGATGATTTTTCAGTAATCGAAGCGATCAGCTATAAGACAGTGATGGTGTACCTACTGTATTTTTATACATATAACTTAATTTATCTCATTCAGTATAACTTCTACTTTTCCTCTTAATTCCCATCTTCAGTATGCGATTTTTATAAATTCTGTCTCGTCCTGCCATAAGTTATCACGTGTTATGGTCTGAAAAGCAGCTCAGACGCTATTCTGATATACATGGAAACTCTGATAAAATAATAGACTGTTCAAATTTATTCACGAACGAATATCTGTACAAATATATAAATCTATTTTATGTCCACTAGTCTTATTCGAATAATGACGTTTCAATGACAAATAAACTCATTGGCATCAAATCCCCATTGAAAAACCGACCTTATCGTTCGGACGGCTTATATTGAGGTGGACGCCTGCACTCACGTCGCGATAAGCCACGATAAACTCCACTGCCCATTCAGTGTAGTAAATAATTTATTGAAATTAATGCACGCTTGTGTTTGTTTGTTCGTAATCGATGCGTTCGGACATTGTTCATCCGATCAATTGGATACTTGACGTTCCAGAGAAGGTTCTGGTACTATAGGTGATCTGTCACGTCATTTCGGATCCTCACGATCCAATAACGGTGCTTTTAGGTACTTCAAGCATCGGTCACCATTCTCGTCGAACCCGTCGCTTGCGACGAAGGGCTCGACGAGTAAATTAACCCTCAGACACAGCCTACTGAGTTTCTCGCCGGATCTTCTCAGTGGGTCGCGTTTCCGATCCGGTAGTAGATTCTGGGAAGGACTGCTCTTGCTATGCTTAGTGTTAGCAACGTCTTCAGGTTAGAGCTCTGTGAGCTCACCTACTAGTTCTGTGAATCTAGTATAACCCCTCGAGATTACTACAATAGGTAGGAAGAAAAAAAGGACCTCTTGTGGTTACTGGTGGTAGGACCTCTTATACCACCGCCTTTTTCTGCTGTGAAGCAGTAATGCGTTTCGGTTTGAAGGGTGGGGCAGCCGTTGTACTATACTGAGATCCTAGAACTCATATCTCAAGATGGGTGGCGCATTTACGTTGTAGATGTCTATGGGCTCTGTTAACCACTTAAAACCAGGTAGGCTGTGAGATCGTCCACCCATATAAGCAATAAATAATAAATAGACACAGCCCACTGAGTTTCTTGCCGGATCTTCTCAGTGGGTCGCTGTTCCGATCCGGTAGTAGATTCTGCGAAGCACTGCTCTTGCTATGCTTAGTGTTAGCAACGTCGTCAGGTTAGAGCCCCGTGAGCTCGCCTAATTGTTCTGTGAATCTAGGGTAACCTCTGAAGATTACCAGAATTGGTATTTGCCGTTTAAAGGACACATATCCCTGGGAGCTCTGGGCGACTCGTTCTACGAGTACCTGCTGAAGGCCTGGCTCGCGTCGAACCGCGGCGACGAGCAGGCGCGCACAATGTTCGACACGGCGATGCAGGCCGCGCTCGACAAGATGCTGCGCGTGTCGCCCTCCGGCCTCGCCTACCTCGCCGAACTCAAGTACGGCAGGGTCATCGAAGAGAAGATGGATCACTTGTCTTGCTTCGCTGGTAATGTGACGTCATTTTTTTGATGCCGAACGTAGCTACGTGGAATAGATGTAATGCGTTCATTGAAGTGAACATTGTGTAAAGAAAATTAAAGTCTTTGATACATATTATTATCTAAATTGGACAATGTACCTCGAAGATTTGTATCTTACTTCGTAACAGTCAGCTTAAAATTGAGATAACAGTTTAGAACTAATTCTTTAAATTTTTTACTGGTGGTAGGACCTTATGTGAGTCCGCATGGGTAGGTACCACCACCCCGCCTATTTCTGCCGTGAAGCAGTAATGCGTTTCGGTTTGAAGGGTGGGGCAGCCGTTGTAACTATACTGAGACCTTAGTACTCATATCTCAATGTGGGTGGCGGCATTTACGTTTTAGATGTTTATGGACTTCGGTAACCACTTCGGTCCACGCATCTATGCAATAAACAGTGCGTCGTGTTATGTCGTGTCATGATGGTTTTAACTTAATTTGATAGACAAAGAAATATCGTTTCATATTCAGAAAACGATTTTTATATTCTCACCCAGGTTTAAGAGAAATCTGTTTTTTCTGCAGCTGAAATTAAGATGTTAACCCTTTGTCTGCTTATTGGCGAATTTAAAAACTATGAATGATGACAGTGCTCAGTTTTCGGATGTTATCAAATAAGTAATTTTTTGTAAAACAATGCCAGGGTGAAAGAAATGTTGATACATAAACTTAACAACGTCATGAAAAAATAAGGCATAGTTTTTCAAGTACAAATAGTTTTGACACAAAGTTGGCCCACTTTTAGGCATTGTCCTTTAAGGTATAAAGAAACATTTTTTTATTTTTTTCAGGTGGCATGTTCGCTTTGGCCGCTACGACATTGGAGAATTCGTTGTCTGAACGGTACATGGACGTCGCAAGGAAGCTGACCCACACCTGTCACGAGTCCTACTTCAGATCCGAAACTAAACTGGGACCAGAGGCATTCAGGTGAGTCGGACATCACTAGGAAGCAAACTCAGCCGATACCATAGACATTTCAATGAAGATTCTCAATTTTTTTTCTCTGACTCGTATAGCTTTGTCGCGAAAGGCAACGACGTCCATGATCCTAATAAAATGTAAAGGTCGTTGATCCGAAGTTAAAATCACACGAACTGTTCGTTAGATGGCGCTAAAAAGTTGATGTCAAGATGAAAACTAAAATATGTTTGGCGAATATTGTTTTTGGACTTTTTGGCGGGAACGCGAGGAGTGAAGTTGTGTGATATATTTTATTTTGTCTATTTAGTGTTTCTTTAGATTTAAATGTGTAACAATGGTGGTTTATTAACTGTTTAGTATTTGTGAAAATGCACAAATGTGGGAAAATGAAACAAAACCACTGAACGTAACTTCTCGGGATCCTCCAAAAAGTCCACTGAAAAAGTCTCAGTAAATGACCACCATTTTGCTGAGATTATATTTCATTCTATATCATATTCTCATCTTATTTCATTTCATAATATCACTTTTCATATCAAAAAGATTTCATTAAAATTAAAATAAGACTTGACACTAAAGGTCTTAGTGACCAGGTCAGAAAATCTCTAAAAAAAAATTTTGTTTTTTATTATTAATCAAGAAAATTAAATCTTTGTAGATTTTCGAACGCAGTCGAAGCCCGGGCTCAGAAGAGCAACGAGAAGGTGTACATATTGAGGCCGGAGACGTTCGAGAGCTACTTCATCATGTGGCGACTCACCAAGGAGCAGAAGTACCGCGACTGGGGCTGGGAGGCGGTTCAGGTAAGGGATGATCATATATATCATTTATGATCAACAAGCGGACGGGAATTTGCTATCGCATCGTTTGCATAAGCCGTCGTCAGTGTTAGCATTTAAAGGAATCTATTTATTTAACAACAACTAAATTAAATCATAGGGTATTCTGCTGGTATCGAAACGAACATGACGTTTCTTCACGTCAGGAATGGAGCGTGGTGGTGCGCCTATCCATGGACGGTCATAAAGTGAATCCTATTTATTGAGTCTGTGCTTATATATAGAGCGTGTGTATTACGTAGGGTGATAATGATAAAAGACACGACAGCTTGCAACCTGTTTATTTTGCGACGACTCGATACAGACTAAACTAAACCCCCTATATCATTCCCCCTTAAGAATATGACATAAAATGATTTGTTTTTATTACAAAAAAAAAATTGTGTGGAATGTAAAAAATAATATATGAAAAGTTAAAAAAAATTGTGTAAGAATATAAAAAATCTTAAGTAAACGTTATCAATTGAATAACAAAAATAAGAAATGCAGGATACAAAATAAAAGGAATCCTAAGAAAAAACATATTTTTTTTTGCTAACAGTTGTACAGACATTTGTACTAAAATAATACATTTTAACCCAATCCCAACTTAGCAGCTGGTTTTGTAACACTGTCTGGGTCTCGAGTTCGCCGAAAGCTCAACTTCAAGTTAGCGCTTTGCGCTTGATTCTGGACGTCGGTAATCTTCTTCCTGTAGCACCACGAACCGACGGCGTTAGTGCCGCCGAATTTTTTATTTATTGCTTAAATGGGTGGACGAGCTCACGGCATACCTGGTGTTAAGTGGTTACCGGAGCCCATAGACATCTACACCGTAAATGCCGCCACCCACCTTGAGACATGCTTTCTAAGGTCTCATTATAGTTACAACGACTGCCCCACCCTTCAAACCGAAACGCATTACTGCTTCACGGCAGAAATAGGCAGGGTGGTAGTGCCTACCCGTGCGGACTCACAAGTGGTCCTGCTACCAGTAATTACGCCAATTATAATATTGAGATTTGATTTTTATTGCACTGATGTTATTCCTTCACCGTGGAAGTCAATCGCGAACATTTGTTAAGTACGTACTTCATTGGAAAAATTGGTACCCGCCTGCGGGATTCGAACACCGTTACATCGCTACATACGAATGCACCAGACGTCTTATCCTTTAGGCCACGACGACTTCTTGTAATGACCGACTGCCGTTACAAATCTTATTTTATGATTTGTATTATTGCAGGCCCTAGAGAAGCATTGTCGCGTCGAAGGCGGCTACACCGGACTCACGAACGTCTACCACCAGAACCCTCAGGGCGACGACGTGCAGCAGAGCTACTTCCTCGCTGAAACACTTAAGGTGACCTTTTGAAGCAATACGAAAGATTTTTTTCATTTCCTATTTAACAAAGGTTAGCACAGTTGTGGAGTAGACCGCGCGAAGACGGCTGCGATTGAGCCTAAACTTCATGAATTTAATGGAAGGTAACCTTCAAGCTACTCAAGTTGATCACCGAACCATCTCGGAGATATCATCATCTCGATACGCGGGCAGGTACCCCCAGCCCGCCTATTTCTGCCGTAAAGCAGTGATGCGTTTCGGTTTGAACGGTGGGGCAGCTGTTGTAACTATATTGAGACCTTAGAATTTATATGTCAAGGTGGGAGATGTCTTATGGGCTCCAGTAACCACTTAAGATCAGGTGGGCTGTGAGCTCGTCCACCCATCTAAGCAATAAATAAATAAAAACTTCATTTCAAATCACTGCGAGATTGCATCCTCAGATAATTAATTAGACGAAGAGCCGAGAGTCCTAAAATCAAAAAGAAACCGTATAATTGGAAATTGTTATTATATTATTTCCGACTTTTCGGACATATTACAGTTTCTGTGGTCACAGACGACTAAGGTGACATTAAAATATTCTGCTAACTATTGCTATAATCAAATAGACGCTACGGTATAATGAAATAAAAAAGACGATATTAAACCGAGTAGTATTAATTATATAAATTATCCATAATTATTTGACATACAATTGAATTGTATTCTGTGTATTAAGGGATTCAAAATTTGGGGCTGTCTTTGACGTAGCGCCCTGTTCCCTTTCTTGCCGAGCGGTTTTTTAAGCTTTTAATTTGTATGACAGATGTGTACAATGACGTCACTATATAATATAATGCGTTCTCTATCTAGCGTCGTATAAAAACTCAGCTTCTAAATAAAGTTTTGTTTTTGATTATCGGTTGATCCAAACATAGCATCAACTTGTAAGCGCTATTGACTAGTGAATCTAATAAAAACTTTCTAATGCATTTGTTTCAGTACCTCTACCTTCTGTTCTCGGACGACTCTCTCCTTTCGCTCGACGAGTGGGTGTTCAACACTGAAGCTCATCCGCTTCCAATTAAAGGCAAGAATCCCCTGTACCGCATGGCGAGCACGCCCGTGCCTATAGAAGACAACCGAGTCTAAGAAGATGAAATCGACAGCTCTGTGTGCTTAGTGCCAGTTTTTTAACGTTCTCGCTAGCGTAAAAGTTAAGTCAAAATTGTATAGAGTTGGAACGTTTGCCTATGTTTGCCGCTAGGGGCATTGTTCCAGCTGCATACAAATTTCAGGTAAATTTTACGCTATAGAGAACGTTAAAAAACTCGCACTACGCACACAGATCATCTGACGAGAAGAAGTCCCAAAGTTAATTACGAAACTATTCAAAATGGCTGTTCTAACTAACAACCTGCCAACAAATAACGAACGGAAGGGGTATAGTCACGGATGTGTGATTCTTGTAGGCATTTGTACAAATTGAATTTGGTAGCATAATAAATAGATTATTTTGTAATTGGAATGTGAAAGTTTTAGTCGTAATGGGTATGTGTATAATGAAATATTTGAAACAAAAACTAGCAAAATAAAACTGCTAAATGGCCGTATAAAATTTGTAATTAAATATTTAATTACACGATTTTGAATTGATATTTCAAATGATCAATGGAAGTTTAATGGTAATTTGTTTGTTCCATTATGTTGATAAATTTTATAAATAAAAACAAACTTAAGGTTTTTGAATAAAATATAATTTTAATCCACTTAATATCAAATAAATGTATTTGTCCATGTGTGAAACGAATCTTCCCGTACATTCGTGTCATTAATAAAATAAACTGGTTAAGAAATTAATGAGCGTCATATATAATGAAGACGAGAGGGACTTGTTTATAAAATGACAACAAAAAATAACTAAAATATGTATATAGTATGTATATGTCTTTCTTTCAACACTGTTTTCCAATGTTACAATCAGCTGACTCGGAGCCTAGCGAGGTCGTTGACCCCGTGTTTTGGGCGAACATCAATACTACTGATCTAATAAAGTTTAGGCTTTTAACTTAGGAAATTGACTGTTCTTCTTTGACGTTAATTTAAAAATTTGTTGTCGCTTCGGCGTTGTTAGCTTGCACTTGCATATTTACAGTTTAATAACGATAAAATTCGAAAATATATAATTGTTTATCGGTAATTATGAAATCTTAGACAAATTTGTAAATACGGTCACTTCTCGGTTTTGCTAATTTTTTCTATAAGATTGGCTATTTTTATCGCTTATTTATTTACTACTATAATATGGGGGAATGAGTTGACTTCAAAATCAATCAGTTCAAACTCTTATTGAACAAAGTAAAGCAAGAATTTGGCTTTGTACAATCAAATGGGAACATACGATATTGATCCTTATGCTCATGATTTTGAAGAACATATTTATAAAAATACTTTTAAATAAAACAAACATCGATATTAAGTTTGTTTTGTAAGTAAGGCTAGAAAACATGCTCTAATATCATATCTTTAGAATTAAATCTTAAATTTTATGGGTTTTTAGTTACGGATGATTTTTGAGGAGAAAAGCTAAATTAAGAAAAATGTATCTCAATGGAAGGCATTCCAATGTTCAAGGTAGTGTTGAATAACGTACTAGATTTTTCTCTCACTATAAATAAGATATTTTATGAATAAAAATATATTGCAAAAATAATTATCTGACTATTAAAAATCCGATTCTTTCCGAAGTGATCCTTTAGGATTTGTAAACGGTTATATTCTTTTTTTTTTTTTTAAACTTACGAAAAATATATTTTACTGCCATTCCTGTTTGATTATTTGATCAAAAATTGAAGGGAGCCCTTGCATTTTTGAATTGATATCCTTTAGAGAAATACAGAACTCGACTGGATGCAACTTCGTGTGACGTCATTCGGGGCCAACACGGTGAGCGCAGATAAAAAAAAACAAACGAAATTAGTGATGCGCTTCAGTTTAATTAGTTTTTTTTATCGGTCCTCCCTTTTCTGATAGCGGGTTAGTTAAAATACAATGAGGTTCTAGGTTCCCATCGCTTAATTTTGCCGTCACAGTGAACTTTGTGACAAGCTCTGTCTGATTGCGACATTTTTATTTTGTACTGGAAATGGTCTCTGTCCCAAATCACGTGATTCAATGCAAACGGTTCGTATTTATTTAATTGCGTGAAATTGATTGAATACTACTAAAATTAAAGGGCCCTACGAACGAAAAACAATTGTTTCAATGAATTGTTAGTCGATAAATGTTTGAGTAGTGATTGATACCTATAATATCATTTTAAACAGTTTGTTAAAACTTATAGAGCAAATATAACTTAATATCAGATAAGACCTTTGAGTCTATCTAGTTATAATATTAAAACAAGTGATTGAGCATTTCTTTTTACCTATTTAATCTAATGTTTAAAATCTCCAAAATTATAAGTATGCTTGTTACAAAAATGTACTTTCTTGGGTACCATGGAAATATAGTAAACGCTTTAGATCTTAATAATGAAGATTACATTATAAGTAAGATAATCGTCATAATATTTATTAGCCACCTAAAAAAATGTATTCAGTCCGGACTAATGCTTTTTGATATTATGGACTTGATTTTGAAATATAATTATATTTACATACTCTTTTAGTTGGTGATAAACTGCAGATCTCTTATTTGTATGTGACTAAAAATCATGATTAATGATGATATGGTACTGATATAAAAATCATGATACTTTTCCCTTTTTTTTTAACAAATCTCTTTTAAAGTGCTTGGTATAAAAGATAACAGTTTGTTTAAAAAATATAATCTATGATGACATTGAACAGATAATCTTCGACCTATTGGAAATATTTTATATCGTTCAATAAAAACATTTCTCAAGAATCGTCTCATTTGATAAGATGTTTATTTATTGTTTATGAGAGGCGATTTGGCTAAAGCGACATTTTTGCTTTACAACTTTACAGAGGAACTATTTAAAGTTTAAATTTTGGAAAAATAATCATAACAAAAAAAATTTGCTTAGCTATTCGAATGGGGTAAACATAATTGAAGTTCAATTAAAAACACCGAATTGCTGATACTAACACCAAATAAAGCGGACCTTTAATTGAATATGCAATTTCGAAAAGGGCACAAGTCGCATATTTTGTCAAATACGTTTTTTCATATACATGTAGTTTTGAGGCTTACCTACATCCCCATTTTATAATAATTTCAGTAATTTTCAATTTCTAATTAACACTAAAATATATCTCAAAAGTTAATATTTTAAATTTTACACTGCTTTAGAAAATAATCATTTTTTTTTCATTTCCTGAACATTTTACATTTTCAGAGATGTGCCCTTTTCGAAATTTCATATTCAATTACAAAGATAAATGTTGCGTATAGTTAGAGAAATGTCGCATAAACCAAATAGCCTTTCACCCATCGATAATGTTACTTATGACGTTTTGTGACTATGTGGGATTGGCACAGCATGCTCCTTATAATTATCGTCACGTCACATTCGTATCAGACAATTATTAGCAATAATTAATTACTAAAATCGATGTACTGCGTTGTACTAAGGCAAGTATGATTTCTGATTTATTTGTTTAAAATTGAGATAATCAATTTTTAAATTCGATTTACTTTAGTCTAACGAGGCAATTACGGTCTGTGAATTTTTTTAATTTAATATAATTTTTGTTGTAACATAAATCGGGGCTGAAGAATAATGCATATCATAATTTCTATTTTACGATTAGCGTCGGTCAACTAATAATCTGAATTGCTTTAGTTATAATAAAGCTAAGTTTTACTTGAATCGAAAATAAATTTGTCTATTGCTAGAGAATAGTGGAAGCATATTTTGTGAAATTGTGGATTTTCCGACACAGGATTCCGAATGTGCATTATTTTTCAGTGTTTTTTTTTTTTTCGTAGCTAAACGATTCGAGCTTTGTTAAGAGTATTTGTGATTATAAAATACAAAGTTACATAATATAAATAATTTTATTTGTTCTTTTTGTAAGTAATATTTTTCTGCACCCGTTAATGTAGCATTTCTTACGATAATTTGTAAGTTCGTTGTTTATTTGAATTTTTTATTCGAATTTTGAGTGTAAAATTAACCCTTTTAGTGCTGAGCTTATTTTCACATATTTTGTAGAAATTACTAAAGGATTTTTGGAAAAAGTATCTTATAAAAAACTTTATCTTAAAAAATACCAATACAAAAATCAATACTAAATTCATAGCAAAAAAGTTTTAAAGAGTTAATTATATATGCTATTATGAACTTATTAAAAACTTTTTACATGCGCACGCTAAGACGTCCATGCAGGTCGATAACTTTAATCAAACTGCGCATTACTGCGCAATAAAAGAGAGTCGATCTATCGACGATTCGCGCTCAATGGGTTAACGGATACATTAAATTATCAATTGATGTAACAATTGAGGGTGGAATTAGTTTGTGAGGATCGTTCCAAATTAAAATTACGTTTTATCGTATTAATATAACAATAAAGTCTTCAAAAAATATATATTATATATAATAGATATAGATTCATAAAAGAAACGCTTCATAAATGTGATAATGGTGGTTTCACATCAATACAACCACGAGTGGCGGTGGTAATTTAAAAAAAAAATCATAAATATTGTGTATACTTTCTTATATATACTAAAATATCCGCATTGTGGTAATTTCGCCATCGATTTTCGATACCTAGCTGTGGAGTGACACATGTCTGGTGGACCGGTGATTATGTAAAAATATCCTAGGAAATTACGTAGTCGTTTTAATTGTGTAAATAGTATAATAATAATACGGTTGGTGTGCGTAGTTTAAATTGTTTTTTTTTTCTCTTAAGTTAAGCGTGTGCGTCCGTCTGTCTCTTGTCTTTTGTGTGCGTGTTATAATTTATATAAATATAATATTTAAATGATATTTTAACAAAATACTGCCGTTTTGTTCTGTTTTAGCAGTGGGTTTTGCTGTATTTGAATAATTCGTAACGTATATAAATGTATTTAGGGTGAATTAGAAAAAAAAATTATGTATCACGTTATGGTCCTAGTTGTTTTAGATGGATTTATAAGTAAATTATGGATTATCTATGCGAATGTTAAAGAATTCGAACGAAAAAAAAACGCTCAGGCCTTTGTTGCTCGTTTCGTTTTTAAATATGAATTAAATAATATGTTTTTAATGAAATAGTTAAATGATGATGCATAGCAAATATAATTAACCTCATTTTCAGTTTTAATTTTTTTTTTGACAAATTTAAATCTCGTATTTTGTGTTTATATTAAAAACACTGAGCAACATAATTATTATGTTTATATTATTAAAAAAATAATAATATAGCTATTTAATTATTATGTAATTTAGCACAATTGTATACATTAATGCCAGGCATAATATTTTAATGTTAGCCTCCAAGCACACGTAGTAGTTTTAAGAATTTCATCGAACGAATACTTTTAGAAAAAAAGTGTCACATCAAATTA